GCGGCGCGGGGCGTCGACACGTGGCGGTGCTTCTCCGCCTGCCGGGCACCCTCCGCCACACATAGCTGAGCTTTGGCGCCCATCCCCGTGGGATCAGAGCGCGTCTCTCCGCGGACGGGGCCTCCGGCGGCCACCACGTCAGCAAACGGAGCGGCTCTTTCTGGCCGAAAGCTTGTTACCGAACGGGGTGCGTGTTTCGTTTAACGCGGGGCGTCGACACGTGGCGGTGCTTCTCCGCCTGCCGGGCACCCTCCGCCACACATAGCTGAGCTTTGGCGCCCATCCCCGTGGGATCAGAGCGCGTCTCTCCGCGGACGGGGCCTCCGGCGGCCACCACGTCAGCAAACGGAGCGGCTCTTTCTGGCCGAAAGCTTGTTACCGAACGGGGTGCGTGTTTCGTTTAACCCATTCAAACGTGTGCCTGACAGATCAAATCAGGGCCCTACATGGTAGGAGCCATCCACCCTGTGCCTGAATGCCTTGCTGACCCCGAGATGTATTTTCTTGCTGTCTCGTGAGAATTGAGAGTTAACTTTCGGACTCCTTGGCCCAACATGAGTTGCGCTTTGAAGAGCTTGGTGGACGAAGGAGGCTGTGCTTCCTCCCTTCGCCGCTCAACGGCAAAGCTAGGAAGCAGACCCACAAACCATAGGCAAATACTGCGGGAATACACCATGTGGCAAGATCTCCTTTGGACGGTACAAATCTGACCTTGTGGTAAATGAGGAGAGTGGCCAGGGTATGGACTGAACTAAAATATTGTGCATCACACATACGCACACACACACACACAGAGAGAGAGAGAGAGAGAGAGAGAGAGAGAGAACATTTGAACACATCCTTGCAAAATGCTGAGTTAGGTGTGAACCTTGATCCCACTGGCAGCCAGCAAACCCTTCACAAGCTAACAGGAGCTGAGTCTGCAGAAGTAGGATAAGTTTTGGGTAGGTGCATGGGATTTTTTAAAAAATTAGGTTGGAAACCAGTTTGGCATAGTCTTGAAATCTTGTTATGCTGACTGTGTTCCCAATAACATTTAGGGCATAAAGATTCTCTTATACTGGTGCTATATTCCATTCAAATCAAGTGTGCAATGTGTCTCGGCATGCAGTGTTAGAAAAAGACACACATTGCTTTGAAAAAAGGTGCTGCTCAAAAGACGTATTCTCTGTTTGATGGTTCTGAATGCAACAGGTTCCTTGCTACCGAATCAAAATCACTTTTACTTTAATCTGTGATACAGAAAAGGCTTCACACATTACAACAGACGATAGTACTTAAGCCTTTCATGCATCTTTGCAATGTTTGAGAATTATATGTGTGTGTGTTTTTTTCCAAGTACACCAGAGCCAGTGCCCTGGAAGTTGTGGGTGGGCAGACACAGTCCTTCCAGTTCCCAGCAAAAGAGCGCATGACTGCCTGTACGGAACGTTTTCTCGCCGCTTGTAACTACAATGGTCACTTCACTGTGTATGCACATTTCTCTGGTGCTGTCACTGCTGTGCATTATAGAAATGCTCCAGCAAGGCATGGTAATGCTTAGCTTCTTAGTGTGTGCTTCCATAGTGAAAAGTTCAAAGTTTCTTTTTGTTTTGGCACCTTAAGACAAACGGAGAGTGGCAGGATTCTCATGAGAGTTAAAAAGTAGACATGTCTTGCAGTTTTTAGATTGTACTTTCTGCAAAGGAGATCATGGTAGAAACATTCAGAAAACTCAGATTTGCTTGTTCTTCCCAGCCAGGCCTGTAAGGTACTCCAACTCACTGAGCTGGCTGGCTGGCTCTGTTAGCTGGGTAGAGGGTTTGCGAGTTCAATTATCTGCTGTGCCTCTGGAGAAGAGCCAGCCTGTGTAGCCTTGGGCATGCGCTGGCACAGTTGCAGGGCATCCCCAGAAGAAGGGAGTGATAAATCACTTTGGTGTTGTCTGTACCTAGAAAACCCTGGAAGGGTCACCATAAGTCAAAATGGACTCGATAGCATGTGACTACTATTATTATACTGCCTGCACAGTTAGCCTGGGCCTGTTGCAATATATAGACAACAAAAATATGTGGGGGTGCCTTGCACCTTACAAAATAGAAGCAGAACATCCTGGATCTTTGATGTACCGTATATCCATTCCTACATACATAAACAATATGTTATCTAAGAGCTCATACTTACTCCAGCATTGCCTTGAGAGGAAGCAGAAAGGGAACCAAGTTTCACTTGAACGCTATCTGTAAGAGTTGCACAAATCAAATAAATCAGCTTGGTCTTTGATCACAAATGTGCATAACCTGTTGGTCATAGCAGTTGGTTGTCCCATGATCCGCCCCTAAATCAAGGTCAGTTTTAGGAGCTCTAGTCACAAGCTTTTACTCTGAAATTTTATTCTGGAAAGAGCCACCCAAGTGTTTCAAAGGCTATTGAAGCCTGGCACATATGCTAGAAAAGTAGACGGTGGCAGGAAACAAATTAAGAGTTGCAATTTGTCGTGTGCAGAATGGCTGTCGCAAAAGAGTCATTAGGGAAGAAACTGCTCCATAGGCCACAGGAATGTCCCATTTTAATATAGCCCTTTCTAGCAGGTTCCTCTGCAAACATGGACAGATCCAGTCATCCTGTTTTTGTCTCCTAGTTCAGTAATCTTTCCACTCTGGCAGCTACCAGCCCAAGGAAATCTACTAGGTTCACCCCTCCTCAATTAACGTAAGAAGAGCCCCACTGGATCAGGCCAAGGGCCCATCTAGTCCAGCTTCCTGTATCCCACAGTGGCCCCACCAGGTGCCTCTGGGAGCACATGAAACAACTAGATACCTGTCTCCTGATACCCTTCCCTGTATCTGGCATTTTGAGGTACCTTCCTTTTAAGCCTGGAGATTATACATTCCTATCATGGCTTGTAACCTGCAATGGGCTTTTCCTCCAGAAACCTGTCCATTCCCCTTTTAAAGGCATCTAGGCTAGATGCCATCACCACATCCTGTGGCAAGGAGTTCCACAGACTGTCAAAGGTCCTTCTGATTCCCAGAGTAATGAGTGCCTGGGAAGAACAGCACTTTTAAGCATCATTTTTAGCCTGGAAAGCTAATAATCACTTGCGTGCGTGTCTTGTCTAACTGACAGAATTAGTGGATAAAGAAATATAGTGCACTAGGAAAAGAGAACTGCATAGGTTGTTCTTTCAAAGATGATTTGTAAGGAAGCATGGAATAATAGAATAATAGACTTGTAAGTTGCCTTTAAGTGAGTCCAACCCCCTGCTCAGTGCAGGAATCCAGATCAAGGTAGATCTGACAGATGGCTGCCCAATTTTCTCTTGAATGCCTCCAGTTTTACAGAACTCACTATGTCTCGAGGTGATGGGTTCCTTTGTTATACAGTACTGCTCTAATGTTTTTTCTAATATTCAACTGAAATCGTGCTTCCGCTAGCTTGAGCCAGTTATCACATGTCCTACACTCTGGAACAATTGAGAACAGATTCCCCATCTTGTCACTATGTATTTGGGTCCCCCCCCCCGATAAAAAAAATGCATTTAGCCCTGTTAAATTTAATTCTGTTGTTTTCAACCCAGTGCTTGAGACTCTCAAGACTTTTTTGATTTTTTTTAAATTACATGGTACTTGTTATTCCACTCTGTGTCATATCCACAAATCTGATAAGCATGCCTTGCACCTCCTCACCAAAGTCATTAATAAAAATGTTGAAAATAATAAAGCCCAGGACTGAACTTTGTGATACATCACTTGTACCACCGCCTCCCAGTTTGAGAAGGCATCAATGATAAGCACTCTTTAAGTATGATTCTGTAATCAACTGACAGTTGTTCTGTTCAACCCACATTTAATAGCTTGTTAATCAGAATATCATGGGAAACTTTGCTGATGTCAAGATGTATTATGTCTACAACATTCCCACCATCTATGAGGGAAGTTACCTGATAAAAAATTAATATTAGTCTAGTAGGGTTTGTTCTTGAAAAATCCATGTTGGCTTCTTATTATCACTGCATTGTTTTCAAAGTGCTTGGAGGCTGACCACTTTATAATCTGCCTCAGGATTTTCTCCAGGATTTATACGAGTCTGACCAGTCTCCAATTCCCAGGTTCCTCCCTTTTGTCCTTTTAGAAGATGGGAACAACTTTAGCCTTCCTCTCTCGTCTAGCATTTCGTCCACACGTGTAGAGTGTGTTACAGTAATCCACCCAGTATGTATAAGGCATGGGCCACATGGCCAGATCAGGCGCCTCCAGAAATGGGTGCAGCTGGTGCACTAGTTTTAATTGTGCAAAAGCACTTCTGGCTGCTGCTGAATCCTTGAGCATCGGAGGTGAATTCAGGAGCACCCCCAAGTTGCACACCTGTGTTTTCAAAGGGAGCACAACCCCATCCAGCACAGGCTGCATCCCCTATTCCTTGATCTGCCATTCAACTGACCAGGAGCACCTCTGTCATGTCAGCAATAGCCCCTCCCATTAGACCATCTCTCTAAACAGAGCACATCAGAGGGTGGTATCAGTAGACCCTCAGGTGTGCATCTCAGTGAAAGAGAGCAAGGTCTGGCAGAAGGAAGGAAGGAAGAAAAAGAAAGAAATGGGACACTGGGCAACTGCTTCCACAAGCTGATGGGCTGAAGGAGAAGGAAAAGAAGAAAAAACAGAAAGGGGGATGCCTGGAAGGAAGACAAGGCCTGAGAGGCTGGAGTCAACCCTGGAGAGAGGCACTGCTCTGGCCTACTAGACTTCTACAGAGAGCTGCTTCTTCCCTGGAGCCAGCAGGAGAATGGTAAGGACAAAGAAGGCAGGTCAGCAAGAGAATAGTTCTGGCAGTGAGCTTTGACCCCACGTGCTCCATGAGCAACGTCATTCCCCTCCA